TACTCAAATTATTCCTGTAAACTTTCAAAAAATGTCGTATAACCCAATACATAAAAGGTGTAAATGCAAAATAGAAAAGGGGTAAATGCCTGGCATACCATATGCAAGGCACACCAAAGAAAAGTCCTAGAGAAAATGATTATATTGAATTTTAATATGTAAAATTTGAAGATGCAATTGATATAAAATGTAAATTACACTTTAACCACTTTATGTTTGGTCATTTTTTTATTTTGACATTTAAAATTTGTTTTTTCTCACTTTGATCATTAATATTTCAATTTTTTTCTACTTTACTTTTAAAGTTAATTTTTATTCAAAATTAGACCAAAAAAAAAAATGACATGCATGGGCTGGCTTAGGCTTCTCCGCAACTGGTAATGTAGTCTGCTAATTTGTTCCATTGGCAGCTAGCTTCTTTTGTAGGTTTCATGTTGAATTAATTAAGTTGCCGTTCACAAAAAAGATTTTAATTGACTTTTTAGATTTGAGACTTTTTTAATTTTGAATTTAAAAGTTTGATTAGTAAATTTCTTTTTTAATTTTTGTAAGAAAAAAAAAATGATTATGATTTGAATGTGACATTTTATCTTATTGACTTTTTTAGTCTATTTGGCCTTTTGTGCATTTTTAGTCCCAACTAAAATAGCGAAACTAAGCCTAAATTACAAGGATCAAATGAGTAATAGGAGATTGAAGTTTTTAAAATAATTTTATCATTTATTTTGTAAAACCTTTCGTGTATATTATTAATAAAAAAAATTAGGCCAATTTGATAATTATAGTACATTCAATTTGACAAGTGTATTTTTAAACTGACCATCCATTTTTTTGGTTACAATTGCAATAAGTTGAACATGTTATAATTATCATTTTTTTTTGTATGGATAATATACACGAAGAGCTTTATAAAATAAACGGTTTAGATAATTGAAATAGGACTCGTAGTACGCCCTACGAGCCCGGATAGCAATCCAGACTCTATGAAAAGTGAGATTCATTGCACCAATGCAATAATAATTAGCTTTCTTGGTCTTTAATCACATCTTCCCTCTCCTAAACACCTTCACTTAATGCTAGCTTTTCCAAAATTGTTTTTAGATCTTGTTTGATATACAAATCATTTCAAATCGGGACCATTAGAGTCTTCATATTCTTAATACTTGTCTTAGAATTAATATGAATGAGTGATTTGCCATGAATTATTGCTCAAACCAAAAAAACAAAACTCTGAATTATTGGGACATGATGCAGCTAGCTAGTGTCACGGCCTTGGATTTTCCAAGCCAACCGTGCGGCTTTAGATCCTTATCAACCCACTTGGTTGCACCTAAGTCAACCTTCCTCACTCGACCACACTAACTAAAACACAAAGTTTAGGTGGAAGAATGTGTTCACTATACCAGTATAGTTGTGTACAAAGCTTTACAAGGCTCTCACCCTCACAAGTGCTTTACTCTTAGAGCTCTCTTGGATCTCCTCTCTTGGATCTCCTACAAATGAGACTCCTCCCCTTATATAGCTATCCACCTCCTCAATGGATGGCTAGGATCATTTTGATCCAAGGGCTACCAGCTCTCCTCTAGAACCCTCCATAGAAATATCTAGGACAACAACCCTTCAACTACCTTCTAGAATTCTCTATACTAGTGTAGTATATGGTAGGCTTCTCCGTGATATTCTAGGATGTTCCAGATCTATCCAGACTCTTCTGGACCCTCCAAAGTTCTTTCACCATATTCCGGAATCTTTTAGGCCACTCCGGACCCTTCCACCAGGTTCTAGAGCCTTTCATTATACTCTAGCTCATTCTCACACCTTCCGGAACCTTCCAGCGCCTTTGGCACACCTCAAACACTGCTCTTTGTGTCACAGAAATTCTTGGGGCGTGACACTCTTCCCCACCTGATCTCGTGATGCCCTCGTCACACAGAAGCATACCGAGTCACCACATCTCGATACGATCTTTGTCCGTTGTTGCTGCTGGTGCTTGCTGCTTCGTCTTTGCCCTTGCCATGCTGCTTAATCTGCTACATTGCCGCAAATGTCTTCTCCTTGTCTTTGAGTAGCTAACTCTTGGCCACCAACGAGACCTCACATGGTCGATCACCTGCAAACAACAACATGGTTACAGCGTACGGGACTGGCATCACATTGTTCTTCCTCATGAAATTCATCCCTAAGATTATGAGGTGGTCATCCGTCTCAATGACCAAGAACTCCACCTGTCCAGTCCAACTCCCAATGGTCATGTCAGCACTCCTCACTACACCTTGGATTGGCTTGGCCTTCGCGTTTACTGGCTTGGACCAACCCTTGTCCTTTTTCATTTTCAAGCCCAGCCTCTTAGCCTCTTCGGTGCTCACAAAGTTATGAATGGCACCTGTATCTACCAACGCATGTGAAGTTATCCCATTAACCTTCACCTCTACGTAAAGCACATCCTTCTTTTGGATGCTCCTCGGCTCTTGCATCTTCTCATTCTTCTTGGATATTGACCCAAGAAGTTGGATGCTCCCCAGTTGTGCTTCCTTCTCTGAAGGGTTTTCACTATCGGAGCCTTTCGTCCATTTTTTCTTCATGGCACTAAGCATCTTCTTCTTTCGGCAGTTCCTCACCATGTGCGGTCCGTTGCACAGGAAACACTCAAGCCGCCTTTTACCTTCATGCTTCTTCTTTGGAGATCCGATGCGTTGTCCATTCTTTCGTCGTTCTCGTCTCTTTTGGGACTCTTCATCACTGCGCTCATGATCGGTGGTTAGTGGAGACTGTCTCCCACCTTTGGTATGAGTCTCTCTTGCACCCTTGGGTTTCCCTAGTGCTTTGAAGTCATCCAACTTCTCTGCCTCCGCTAGGGCTGTTGCAAGGTCTTTTACTCCTTGTCTCTACAACTCTCTTGCTGCCCAAGGCTGCAAACCATCTAGGAAGCCATACACTGCTTCTTTTTCTACCATGTTGGGGATCTCCAATAGCAGTGCGGAATATTCCTTCACATAGTCCCGCAATGACCCCTCATGCTTTAGCTTGCGCAGCTTCCTGTATGCCTGGAATTTGACATTGACAGGGTAGAAGTGCTTCTTCAATTCTCTCTTGAGCTCTGCCCAAGTCTCTATCTTGCACAACCCCTTCTCCATGTCGGCATACCGCCTCCTCCACCATAGCATGGCAGTGTCCTTCAGATACATGGTGGCGGTCTGCACCTTCTCGTCTTCATCCACGATGTCGACGTTCTCAAAATACCGCTCCATGTTCCAAATGAAATTGTCAATCTCTCGGGCATCCCTCGCACCATCATAGGCGCACGAACCTTCCATTTTGTTGGAGCCAAATTTTCGTCATTGCCAGCGACTATGGCCTTCTTGCACAACTCTAATTCCACTTCTAAGCTAGCCACTCTTGCCTCCAGGGCCTTCCGTTGGACGGGACTGTCTCTAGCTGCCTCAGAGATAGACGAGTTCACCCTTTCTTCGCAGGAGTCAACCTTTTCCTCCAACTCTTCTACCCTAGCAACAAGACTAGCAAAGTGAGAGAAAAATTCTCTTACATGGGATGTGGGCTTACTAGGGCCAACTAGAGCTTCCTCCAGTCTAGTGAGCTGCTCTGCCACATTCTCCATCATCTCATCAAGTCGTGTCTTCAACGCTGCTATCGAGTCCTTTGTTGAGAGCTTCTTTACCTTGGGGACGTTAGCACCTTCGTCGCCAGACGTAGCCATGTACAC